ACTTCTCTATTTTGGTCTCTTCCCCAGGCACCTTGTGAGCTTCTTCTTGATCGTCACCCAGCTGGGCTTCTGCTGCGTGTACTTCGTGTTCCTGGCTGACAATCTGAAACAGGTGAGGCTCCTGCTGTGGAGGGACTGAGAAAAGAGGAGGAGGATGTGACCGAGCTGTCTTCCACCTTGTAGGGTGGGGGGGGCTGGTGTCCAAGGCCACCCCTGGTGCTGAGGGAGCCACTGCAGGGTAGAAAGCCAAATGCAAACCAGCTCTGAAAAGCATGTGGACCTGCCAGCCTGGCATTACAGCTGTGGCTGGAGCAGGCTTGCAGCTTCTGGGCTCAGTTGCCAAGGGTGTGTTGCAAGCTCCTGTGGTGACAGGAACGAATCTGGGACCTGGTCTTCTCTTTGTGGCTCCCCCAGGTGATCTCGGCTGCCAACGGCACCACCAATGACTGCCACTCCAATGAAACCGTGGTGCTGACACCCACCATGGACTCCCGCCTGTACATCCTGTCCTTGCTGCCCTTCATTGTGCTCCTGGTCTTCATCCGCAACCTCAAGTTCCTCTCCATCTTCTCTTTGCTGGCCAACATAGCCATGCTGGTCAGCCTCGTCATGATCTATCAGTACATCGTCCAGGTACGTGCCAAGACCCAGATTCTTGTCCGTCTCCGCCCTTCCCACAGGTCCTTTGTGGTAGGAGGAGTCTCCTGTGACCTCCAGGAGAGGGGCTGCGTGCATAGAGAGGCTGGCTGGCTGGTGGCTAGTACATTAAAGTAGGGGAGAAGGGATACACGAGTAAGGCATCGGACGCAAACCAGGGTAATAATATTGCCAAAGTGGTGGTAGGGGTTGCATGGATTTTTGCAAGCAGTGTGGTTCACCTTCCTCCGTTTCTGGGAAGTCCTTGCTTCCCTGAGCGTGGTTGTGACATGAAAGCAGAGAGCTTTGCGAGGGGCCTCTGTTTCCTTCCCGTAACCGACTGCGCGCTGCTCTCTTCCAGGGCATTCCAGATCCTGGCCGCCTGCCCTTGGTCTCTGGCTGGAAGACCTACCCTCTGTTTTTCGGCACTGCCATCTTTGCCTTCGAGGGCATCGGCGTGGTGAGTCATAGCTTGCGTTAGCGTGGCTGGCTGCAGCAGAGGCAGAGCCAAGACTGGTGCTGTCTGGAGCAGCTGTGACGCCTCTGCGTTTGTAGGCAGACCTCCATGTCATGCTCTGGATTTTGGTGACTGTTCATTGTATCCATCGATGCTGCTTCCTCTGGCTGCAGGGGTGATGGGGCACAATTGCCTTTCGGTGTGAAAGCTGCAAATGTTTAGTTATTTCCTCGAAAGCCTCCAGGCCTACTGCTTCGGCAGTGGGTGTTCTGACTTGCACGGTCTGGGAAACTACCTCTGGCCCAAATGACTGGGGCTTAAGGGGGCCACCCCTCCCAGGCTGGATTTGGAAGCTCCCTAGTTAGAAGCCGAAGAGCCATTTCCATTTCCGTGGCCACATCCTGACCTGATCTTGCCCATGAAGCAGCCTGTTCTTCCTCTTGTGGCAGCTGAGGTTCAGTTTCCTGTGCTGTGTGTTTGCACCTCTGCCTCCAAGCAGGGGCTGTGGAGGGACTGGCAGACAGCTAGGGAGAAGGTGGAAGTGGCTGGGATGAGCAGTGTACAGCCCTGTGATGCTTAATTGAGGTGATACCCACTGGAGTGGAGGTGTGCATCTGTTCTGCCTGGCTAGGAGAGCACTAGCTGCACGTCCCAAAAATGTTGTGCGCTGGACGTGGAAAACTGAACTGTGATACTAGAGTTAGGGTTGAGCTGTTGGGTGGGTTGGGGGTTGGGTCTCTCTTTTTTCCAGTCCTCTGTTCCAACAGCTGTGCTACGGTGTGCTAGTCATGGCCCTTTTAAATACTCTGTGGCTCAAGGACACACAGCAGCTATTGACATGCTCCCCAAAAAGCATCTCCCTCTTGCGGTTCAGAGGCTCTGCTGTCCCAATGGCTTGGGTCTTGAGTAGAGGGAAGGCAACATGCCGTCAACATCGTGCTGCACGCTTATCGAGGGATAAAGCCGGTCATTCTTTCGGCTACCTGTCAGCTGGAAAAGCAAATGGCCCAGACCAAATATCTCTGGAAGGCACAGCCATGCAGTGGGCGGACAAAAGGTGTCCTGGTCCGTTCCCTACGGCAGCGTCTCCCATGTGACATTGCAAGTCCAATATAATCATTGCTGCAAGAACCGAGCTCATGATGGAAGGGGGTTCACAGAGCCCAGGACAATGGGGTACCACTCCCGTAGTCTGCACGTCTCAAGATAAGCCACAGCTGGGGATTCCTGATGTACTTCCTTGCCTTCAGCCAGGCTGAATGGGTCAGAGTGGAGCCTGAAATAACTTATCCCACCCTTGACCTTGGGCTGTGCTGGCCAATATGGTTTTGTTGGGTCTGGGGCGGGGGTCCCAGGTCCTGCTGCATCCAGTGAGATGATGGCTAAGGGGTAATGTGTTAGATTTGGAACCTGTTGGCATGATGGTGAGGAAGGGAACGCCGCTCACGTGTGTTTTCTCTTCCTCCTCCCCAAGGTGCTGCCCCTTGAAAACAAAATGAAGCACCCGCAGCATTTCCCCGTGATCCTCTACGTGGGGATGGCCATCGTCTCTGTCCTGTACGTCAGCCTGGGGGCCCTGGGCTACCTGCGGTTCGGAGCCAACATCCAGGCCAGCATCACCCTCAACCTGCCCAACTGCTGGTCAGTCCCCGCGTCTCTCTCAAAGCAGGGTCTTCACAACCAGAGTTTGTGTGCGGCTTTGCAGCTAGCGGGGGTCACTTGGTTGATAGCACAGGCTGGCACTTGGTGGCATTAGGAGTTAATCTGAATAAAAGCCAGCCAATAGGCTGCTGTCAGCAGCACCTCACTGGAATTAATAGAGACTTTTAAATGCTAATCTGCATTGCTCTGGGGGCCCAGCCAGTGTCCAGGACTGGCCTGGCCACATCTCCAGAGCTTTAGAAGGTGCCTGTTCCAAAGGAGCTGGGGCATTGGGAGGGAGGGGCTGCAAGAGCAGTGCTATCTGTTTTCAGAGCCTGGGACCTCGGACTGTGCTGACTTAATATAGGCTCATGGGTGCTCAGAAACCATCAGAGGCTGGGAACACATTGCAGGTGCCCTTTACATGAGAGTTGGCCTTTGAGCTCTTAGGTCTTGAAACTGGTTCTCTCTGCTGTTCCCAGGAGGTGCTTATAGGTGGCAGCTCTAATTAGGCTCCCTTACCTGGTAGGATAAACTCCCCCTTGGCTGCAGAGAGGCTCCACAGTCTGGAAAGAAACCTCTCTCCCCCTCCTGTGCTGTGTGCTGCTCCTGACAGCAGGCTGGGTGCAGGTGGTGGCACATGACATTGCAGAAAGCCTTGTTGCTAGGCTTTTTCCAGCCATCTCTTACTCCCAAGTCAAATGGGTTGCAACAAACCTCCTACACCCTGAATCACAGATGGCTTTTGAGTGCTTGTTTCATGTGCATGGCTATTAAAGAGCAAGAGCAGCCAGGGCTCGCAGAGAGCAGTCTGTACCACCTGCTTTGGCTTTTAAGGCCTCTGCATCAAAGGGTTTGTCATGCTGCTTTGATCCTGGGTAAGTGGCTGATAGTGTCCATAGTGAGATGTTTGGCTTGGCTGCACAGCATGGGAGCCAGTGCTTAAATTGCTGCTCCATCTTAGTAAGGCCTGGGGCTCTTTCAAAAAGTGCCTTCTACAGTCCCAAGTGAGAGAGGAGCCTGGTTGTGTCCCCTGGTACTGAAGCATGTAGCATGATGGCCCCAGCTTTAAAAAAACTTTATGGTCTGAAGTGTAGGAGAGAAACTTGTCCCTGCTTTCATAGATGAGAGCTCAGGTTCAGACTTGACCAGACCTCCGTGGTGCCCCAGACTCGGGGCCAGCTTGTCCTGAGTTGCATGTGAAGGACAAGCCCACACTCCCCCTCTGAGGCTGTCCCATTTCTGAAATGTGTGATTTATAATCATGGCAGTGTCTGGATTTGAGGGGGAGCTGGAGAAGCGGGACGCGCTGGCTTGCCCCTCCAGCACTCTGCCGGGCAGAAGCGATAGGGGGAGGGGAGGGGAGTGGAGATCTCTGGACACATCTGGCTGTGCACAGCTGGGCTCTGTACTTCTGCCAAAAGACTTCCAGCGTGCTTCATCCTTAAAGACTTTACCACACTTTCTCCTTGACGGAGAATAATCCCATCGCAACACATTGATGCATGCATCCTCCAGTAACTTTACTCAAGTATCATCAATCCTTAGGATCATCTCATTTTCATACTCCAGTAAAGATTTACCAGCAAAAAGGAGATTTTTTTTTTTTTTTTTTTTTTTTTTTTCCATTTGGACAGCACAGCCCCTAGGGAACAGAATGCTTCTGGCCTCTGTGATGGGCAATAACACAAAGCCCTTTACATCTTCAAAATGTCAGGCAAGCGGATTGTTTCTAGGCAGGGTACTTGGTTGATGCTATAAGTAAGCAACTTTGGTATTTTAATAGAAGCTTTTTAGGACTTCCCCAGACCCTAGGTTAAGGATTTAAGACCTGTGACAGTGCAGAGCTTAGCTGACAGTTTTTGGGAGCTGTGCCTGTCTGCTTCCAGTCAGCAGAATGGCAACTTGGGGTACAGGAGAATCGTGGGGACTGGCTTGGTAGGGAGAGGCGTGTCGGTCACCAAGTTTAACCGCGGTGCTGGTGAAGTGCCCTGCTTGAAACCTGTGAACTAGTCACGTCTGAAGCTGGTGAGCTGCTCTGAAGATATCCTTGATCTTCTTTTTACTGAAGGGACAGAGTAAGATCATGCTTGCTGCAGCACAAGGAGAACAGGAGCCTTTCCCTCCCCCTGCAAAGAACCTGAGTGTTTGAAAGGTGGGGATGAGAGCTCAGGGCACAGGTGATAGAAAGCAGCTGTTTTATCTCTAGCTTGCTGGCTCGGAGCCAGTGTAGGTGCCTGGGAGTTGCGAGAAACCTAGCGCTGTCTTGGTAAGGTCAGCTGCCACCTCGGCCTGCTTTCCAGGGGGCTGGGTGGATGTTAGCATTATTGTAGACAAGATGGATCATTGCCTACCTCCTTGCCAGGTGTGGGAGGTGGGGGAGCAGGTAGCTTGTCTTGGTACCCATATCTGTTTTGTAGCTAAACAACTTCAGATCCAAGGGTTGTTCTGTGGCACAGTAGACAGTGGTATGTGCGCAAGTTCAAATCTCCAGCCAACACTGGGTAGTATTTTGAGGGGGGGCGGGGAGGTGTGCAATTTAATAGCTTATTTTCAGAGCACAGGATAAGACTCGAATGCAAACTGCCTCTTGCAGTTTCTGTGCTGTCCAAAGTCTGCAGAGACTCCCTGAGGTCTGCAGAGCAGGTGGCCAGGCTGCTAGGAGCCTAGGTGGATCTCTTGGTGCTGGGGTGCAGTGGAAAACCTAACCCTGAGTGCCTCTGTGCTGGGGACAGGCTCGCCTGGCTTCTCAGAGAGGCTCTCCTGCCAAATCTACATCGCAGGGTTGCTTTTCCTCCACATTGTCTGCAAGTCTGCCCTTGGGCTGTGCCAGGCTCTGACCAGGTTCCCTCTGCCCGTTCACAGGATGTACCAGTCTGTCAAGCTGCTCTACTCCTTTGGCATCTTCTTCACCTACGCGCTGCAATTCTATGTCCCCGCCGAGATCATCGTCCCCTGTGCCAGATCCCGTGTGCCGGAGCGCTGGGCGCTGGCGGTCGATCTTCTCCTGCGGACGTTCCTTGTCTGCTTAACCTGTAAGTAACCCCGTGCGCAGCTGGCTTTCTGACCCAGCGGATGAAGGGATGGTGTTTCCTGAAGCCAGTTGGCATGGCCAGAGCGTCTTGTGGTCCTAGCAAGCTGCTCTCGACCCATTTGCCTCTTATCCATGCCCCAAGTCTAAATGTGGGTTGGTATTACAAAATAACCAGGCTGTCTGACACCACTTGGAGTCCCCTTGGGCTAGGATCATTGGGGTGCTGGCTAGGGCTGTACTGGTCTCAATGGAGGCAGATGACAGACCAAGGAGCAATGGGCTCAAGTTGCAGCAAGGGAAGTTGAGGTTGGATATTAGGACAAACTTTCTCACCAGGAGGGTAGTAAAACACTGGAACAGGTTGCTCGGAGAGGCGGTGCAGTCTCCATCCTTGGAGGTGTTTAAGACCCGGGTAGACAAAGCTTTGGCTGGGATGATGTAGTTGGGACTGGTCCTGCTTGGAGCAGAGGGGTGGACTAGATGTGACCTCCTGAGCTCCCTCCCAAACTTAACTTCCTGTGATTCTAAGACATACCTAGGGTCTGACCCAGTCAGCGGCTGTTCATACAAAGGCAAGAGTAAGGGCTATGAAGCGCTCGCATAGACTGCAGGGAGGTTGCGGGTTGTGCTAGAGAGGTTTCAAACAGGAGATGAACATCTGTCAGGGATGGTCTTGTCTGGAGATGCAGGGGCCTGGGCTGGATGCTCTTGCACATCCCTCTTAGCCCCACGTTCCTGCAGCCGACCTTCCCAGGCACTTTCCTCTTGGAAACGGAGCTCGGCTGCTCCAAGCACCTGTTTCCTTCCTCCTTGGCGCAAGGGTGCTCGCCACAGCTCTTGCTGAGTTGCAGCACCCAGGAGGGCAGGTAAGAGGCACCAAGGACATGGAGGCGGCTTGTCATCAAAGCTCTGGAGTGAGCGTTTGGCTTTCTGCCTGCTGTGAGTGGAAGGCAACTACTGGAACAGGGCACTGTCCTGGGGCACTTGGAAATTATCCTTGTTCCACTGTGGACCATGAAAGTTGTGGCATACTAGCCCAGGAGGCTGAAATGCTGATTAATCCTGAGCAGGTGATGGGTGCAAGCCTGGAGCATTGGCTTCCCATGCCGAGCCCCTTGTACACCCCAGAGCCAGTCCAGGGAACCGGATCCTTTCCTAGCCCGAAGCGCCGGTGTTTCAGAGGGGAGAGGGTATAGCTAAAGCTCTCCGAGATCAAAGCAGCGAAGTGGGTGGCATGAACGAACACTAATTGGTATGGTTTTCATGGTCACGGCTCGCTGCTCGGGGGATGCAGTCTGGGCTTCACGTGACCCCAACCCCATCCAGCTAAGA